TGGTTTCACTGCTTATTTCTACCAACACTATTGGAACCTATTGAGTGACGACATCTTCCAACTAGTATTTCACTTCTTTGAATCAGAACATCTCCCAAGAAAACTGAACAATACCAACATAATTTTCATCCCCAAGTTTGCCACAACTACAGTTCCATCAGATTACCGACCCATTAGTCTTTGTAATGTCCTATATAAAATCATCTCAAAATGGTTGGTAGGCAAACTCCAACCCATTCTACAGGAACTAATTTCACCTCATCAAGCTGGTTACCTAAAGTCTAGGCAAATCACAGACAACATCCTGTTTGTGAAGGAAATCACTCACTCCATGTTTTCACAAAAAAAGGGGAAGGGTTACATTTCCTTGAAAATTGACATGTCGAAAGCCATCGACAGAATGGGATGGAATTTCATTAAAGAAGCCTTGCTAAAAACGAATTTTCTAGAGAAATGGGCTAACCTCATTTATCAGTGTATCTCTACCCCATCCTTCTTAATCAAGTTAGAGGGGAATCTTTTGAAAACTTCAACTTGAAGAGGGGCTTACGACAAGGTGACCCATTATCCCCATACCTGTTCAACATTGGAATGGAAGTATTCACTGCCTTCCTTCAATTGCCTCACATGATGGCTTACTCAAGGGGGTAAGAATTTACAAGAATGGATCTCCCATCACCCACCTAATGTTTGTAGATGACTGCATCCTCTTTTGTAAAGCAGAAATGAACTAGATAAATGTGCTGATCATTCAACAATTTGAAGAGATTTCAGGTCAAAGAGTAAATTACTCAAAATCTCAAAATCTTGTTTAGTAGCTTTGTACCAAGACAACATAGGAAGATCATTTCACACATGCTCAAAGTAAAAAACCCCATGGTAGGATCAAAATACTTGGGCACCAGAATTCACCTTCAAAACAAGCACCACCTGTCGCTCCAAGATGTAGTCAACAAAATAAGTGCTCAAATAAACTCATGGATTTCAAAACTCCTGTCACAAGTTGGAAGGACCAAACTTGTGAAACCAGTCATTTAGGCAAGGAAAAGAAGCACACTATAGCATGGAGAAATTTATTTTATCCAAAAGGAATGGGAGGCCTAGGTTTCCCTCATTGGTCTTCAATGAACTAAACACTCTTTGGGAAACAAATCTGGAGATTACAACAATCTCCCAGGTCACTTTGGAGTAAAGCAATAAAAGAAAAATATTTTCCTAGTGGTGATTTATTCTCAACTAAAAAGAAGAGAGACAACTCATTGTGGTGGAAAC